CAATCTTGTATAAACTAAAACTAGGTGAGGTTGTTACAACAATACCAACAATTGGTTTCAACGTCGAGACCGTAGAGTACAAGAACATCAGCTTTACAGTGTGGGATGTCGGTGGACAGGACAAGATCCGTCCTTTGTGGAGGCACTACTACCAGAACACTCAAGGCGTCATCTTTGTTGTTGATTCTAATGATAGGGACCGTAAGTACTTATGGGAGGCTACACTTATACATATTTCACGACTACTGCGTATCACCGCGAATATCGCGTTTATCACCGAGTTTTGCGCCACTTCACGTTAAACTTTCCGTGTTACTTCGATTAGTGATTTCCATGCAGGTATTGGTGACGCGCGAGAAGAACTACAGAGAATGCTCAACGAGGAAGAACTCCGTGATGCGACTCTGCTGGTCTTTGCTAACAAACAGGTCGGCGAGGGGGGGGGGGGGGGAATGTGTGAAAATTTATGGAAATTCTCATTGGCTACTATCCACGCCTGGCACGAATTTGAAAGAATACGCGAGCTCAGCTGAGGAAAGAGATCACAGATTGCTCCAACACTGTTGATGATCTCGCAGACCAGCGCGAATAGTGTAGTATCTTCATTTAGGATCTCCCTAACGCCATGACGGCTGCTGAGGTCACCGACAAGTTGGGTTTACAACAACTTCGTCATCGTAATTGGTATATTCAATCGACATGTGCTACCACTGGTGATGGCCTCTATGAAGGTCTTGACTGGCTCAGCAAAACTCTTAGCAAGGCTTAGTGGTGGAGTTTGTGAATACGACGAGTATCTCTTCTATGAAAGCAAATATTGATTCTATCAACTCTGGTGCCTCTGGTGCTACTCATTGTTGGTATGCAACCCTGTATGGTTTCGTGGGTTTCGGTACTCCGATCAGTAGTAGCATTTTCAGCGTCGTCAAGAAATTGCACGAGAGTTTGCGTTTAGTTGTTGTAGTTCTGGACGGTATTTGTTGTTGAGTAAACACCCCGGGGAAATGGGTATGACACTGAGCTCGCTGTTCCAAAACCTCTTTGGAAAGAAAGAGATGAGGATCCTAATGGTCGGCCTGGACGCTGCTGGTGAGTACAAGTCCAAGCATAAAGAGTTGCTTTTATGTCGGTGTAGGTAAGACTACAATCTTGTATAAGTAGTGGATTTGGGAAATATAAAAAATCATTAGAAAAACAAACTCGTATTTCTGAGAATATATTTTTGACTTGTCGATGGTCTTGAGTGAAGAGAGTTTTTGTTATTCATATATGCCACGTATGTATTACATCGTCACTCAACAAGAGCAGTTTTAAGAGAGTTTTTACACGTGTTACATCGTCACTTTTCTACCGAAACAAGAACGTTTTCAATGCAGTAAATAGATGAGGTTACATGTTGTTTTTACACGTGTTACATCGTCACTTTCCTGCCTAAACAAGAACGTTTTCAATGCAGTAGATAGATGAGGGCACATGTTGTTTTTACACGTGTTACATCGTCACTTTTCTACCTAAACAAGAACGTTTCCAATGCAGTAGATAGATGAGGGCACATGTTGTTTTTACACGTGTTACATCGTCACTTTTCTACCGAAACAAAAGCGTTTCCAATGCAGTAAATAGATGAGGTTACATGTTGTTTTAACACTCTGTGTTGGGAAATGGTCAACCACATGTGTTGGTGGCGATATGAATTTTGGAAGACTCGTTAATTTCTGTACAGTTCTCGTACATATCCTATGCTCAGCTGAGGAGTGCGAAAATTTATTTTCTAAAAATGATTTTTCTTAGACGTTCATATTATTATATATTTTTATATTTATTTTTTTCCGAGTTCTGCAACAAAGGTGACAATCCGTATTTGGGGATGAAAATTCAAAGTTGTTGGTCTCAATCTGTAACTTCGTGCATACGTTTGGAGAGGAGGATGAGATGAGATGCGACCTTTCTCACCGTCCTACTCCCCATATGTTCAAGTGAAATGAACAGCGTTCGATGTGTTGTCTCTACCCGAGCTCGCAAGTGTGGAAAAATGTGCACAAGTCAACCACATGAGTTGGTGAAAAAATGAAAATTCTAAGGAAATTTTAGAAGTTTTGTGACCAGTGAGGAAATTCCTGAGCTGAGCAGCTGAGGAAAGTGAACATATATTTCAGCACTCGAGCTCGCCTCCCTTTCTCCTCAAGTGTTATATCAAGATAGTACAATACGATACACGAAGAGTGTTTCAAACTTCCTCAAAACCATACACTGTTCGGCAAACTGAAACGTAACCCCACAAGAAAGAGAGCGACTGCTCTTGGAAAAACTTTATAATCAGCTACAGTACAGTTTTTACAAACCATCATGGCGAGCATCTACTGTAGACTCGGATCAGATCCAGAACGTTGGTAGCACTTCATCGCGGATTTCAAGTTCTAGAGGCTATCGAAAGACAGTCCTTTTGTAGTGAGCAGCAATGTTGTAATATATGTTCGCTTTCTTCAACTGCATCGCTCACCATGGGAGTCTGCGCACGATTTCGGGGAGAAATACTCATTAACCAACAACTTCTCGATTTCCCAATATTCCACCTATCTATTCCCATATATTGGCATCAATGAGCATATGAATATTTTCCCACACTGCAAGTGGCCTTTCTGACCGCCATAATGGAGTTTCACAACAACCCGTTTTACGTGAAGTGGCGTAAAACCCGGTGAAAAACGCGATATTTGCGATGATATGCAGTTTTTCACTAGTGTTTTCATATCACTAGGGTGGTGAAACTCCATTGTTAACTGAGAAACTCCAACACATCAAGAGAGAAATAAATGACTGTTATTGGCAATATACCGGGAAAGGGGAATCGTTACTTTTGGAAAATTTGACAAACGCCATACAGTGGCAAATTACGGTTCGGTGGCCAACCTCGCGGGATCTGCATGATCATTTGAGTTCGTCCGAGCCGCCAGTAAATTCATTTGAGGTGAAACTTGTATCACTAGAATGACCATCGCAAATATAACACATATCGCTTCCGTCACTGCACCGTAAACTCCCTTCAGAAGCGCCTAAAAGAGAAAAGTTGATGTCGTTTCCATATAGTGGAGTCATCCAGCTCTCAGAAATAACGTTCCTAAGATCCCGCTGAGACTAGGAAAAATGTTCCCAATGAGCGATTATAATGGGGAAAATCGGCCGAAAATTGGCCGAAAATATCTTCCTAGCCGTTTTGAAAGTCCAAAATTCGACTCCAGTTTTACGTGAAGTGGCGTAATACTCCATGTGAAAAAACGCGATATTCGCGCTATACACTAGTCGTAAAATATGTTTTCTACTATTGTTTCCCATATCACGAGTGACAACTACATTATGAAATAGTTTTATATTATAGACTTTGGAGTTTCACCACCCGTTTTACGTGAAGTGGCGTATTACTCTGTGAAAAATGCGATATTCGCGGTATACTGCAGTAGTCGTGAAATATATTTTTCACTAGTGTTTCTCATATCACTAGGGTGAAGCTCCTATATCCTATATACTACTAAATTTCATTATATTAACATTTATATATATTGGAGTTTCACAACCCGTTTTACGCGAAGTGGCGTAATACTCCATGTGAAAGACATCGCGATAAGAAGTGGGTTGAAAATACTTGCCGATTTACACTGGACAAATCACCCCATTCCACGTAAAACTGTTTTACTAAAACATCTCACGTGTCGAACGCGTTATTCACGACTGCTCACATGCGTTTTTCGCCAAGTGAAATGTGAAATATGTTTTTCACATCACTAGGGTGAAATTCCATTATTATATATTAATTCCAGTGGCATCTACTTCACAGCTATTGCACACGGTGTATGTGTTGTTCTGTGCTGTTGTGTTGCACAGTACTTGTGAGGAAATGTTGTACACAATTGTCTTCTGTAATTTCAGGTTCTTGTGATACTTGTCTCCCTTGCTAGCCTAGCGTATACTTTATGACTACTGTATTCATCATACGTTAAGAACCACTTGTTAATAACTCTCGCTGAGTTATCTAATCCCAACAGTACTCAAGCCTATCCATCTGTGACCACATATTGTTCACAATAGGTGGCATCGAAGATAATTCGGAGACAAACTATCACCAAAATATTCAAAAAAATCTACGACCGATACGAATGATATATATTTCTATTACAGATACCCATATTCATATATATTCATATTTAGTTATTTTTATCTATAACCAGCTGTATTATATTTATATTTATAGGTTAACGTATATCTTATTATTTATTAACAGCTGGTTTATTTATTATATACTAGGCCTTCTCGGAGAAGGGGCGGAGCGCGGCATCCGGGTTCGATTCCCATGCCTGGCGTTTTTCTGCAAAAATATGTTTTTTGCACGGAAATCTACATGGTCCGGACGGAACCCTAATTTCGTATTTTTACTAGTATCCCCAGAGCGAGAGCTATCGAATGGTGTATAGCATGTGATCATAACCTCTCTAGATCGAGCTGGATAATTTGTACGCACGCACGCACAAAGTGTTAGTAAAGTGAGAGAATACGCTCCGCTCGCTCCGCTCGCTCCGCAATTTATTATCTAATTATAAAATATATTATATATACTACTAATTATATATCTTTACTATTTAAGCAAACGATCCCGAAACTCACCAAATCACTTTGGGACCACGGCTGCGTCTTTATCATCATAAAAAGGGATAAAACGATTCCCCAGGTCTGAGAAAAAAAATTTCAAATCCTAAAAATCAGTAAAATGATAAAACTCACGCCCGCCAAAATGATGGCTCCAATAATTCCTCCTCGAAATTGCCGTCCAAATGCCGTACCTTACGAACAGCTCTCGATGGAGTTTCACAAACCGTGATATGGAAAACACTGTTTAGCGCGAATATCGCGTTTTTCACCGAGTTTTACGCCACCTCACGTAAAACGAGAAAAAAATCAGGACATTGTCAACTTCATGCGTTGGTGACAATATGAAAATTCTGCGAAAATTTATGGTTTCTGCACACTTCTACCCCTAAATTCATGTATAAACTCCTGTCATCATTGAGAGAACTCCTGAGCTCAGTAGCTGAGGAAAGCAAACATATATTCCTACTCCAACACTGTGTTTACTCCTGAGCTCAGTAGCTGAGGAAATCAAACATATATTCCTACTCCAACACTGTGTTCACTCCTGAGCTCAGTAGCTGAGGAAAGCAAACATATATTCCTACTCCAACACTGTGTTCACTCCTGAGCTCAGTAGCTGAGGAAAGCAAACATATATTCCTACTCCAACACTGTGTTCACTCCTGAGCTCAATAGCTGAGGAAAGCAAACATATATTCCTACTCCAACACTGTGTTCACTCCTGAGCTCAGTAGCTGAGGAAAGCAAACATATATTCCTACTCCAACACTGTGTTCACTCCTGAGCTCAGTAGCTGAGGGAAGCAAACATATATTCCTACTCCAACACTGTGTTCACTCCTGAGCTCAGTAGCTGAGGAAAGCAAACATATATTCCTACTCCAACACTGTGTTCACTCCTGAGCTCAGTAGCCGAGGAAAGCAAACATATATTCCTACTCCAACACTGTGT